CCTTAGTTGTTTCTTCAACAATGGCCAAAACTGTTCTACTGCCAACTCTGTACTGCATGGATAAACTTTCAAAGGATTCTCCTAAAAAATAAGTTCAAAACTATAAAATGGATTGAATTGGGATTGGTTTAGAAAAAATTAAGGCAAGGAAAATCTAATCAGATTTGAGAATATATTTACTTATAGATAGGATACTTTTCAATTTTCCACCATAATTTTCCCAATGTCAAAATAAGACTAGATGGATCATGGACAGGTTCACAATAAATTAGGGACTATTACAACCTATTAAACACTGTATCAAAGACATACCAGTTGCAAGAAACCGAAGAGTCAATGATAATCTTTCATTAGCTGATATCGCAGGCTTCAAAATCGTATCCTGCTTTGTAATAAAAGGCTGAACCACAGCCAGGACGTCAAAGAATGACTCTTTATCAAGCCGGTGGAAAGCTCGAAACTGTAATGGGTCTTCGGCATTGAGTTCCTGCACTAAATTAGCGTACATGCCTAGTGTCTTTCTGCGTTTTATCCATGACTTGCTCCATGTTTTCCTGTTGGCTGGCCTTCTACGTCTTCGATTACGACGGAGAAGCAAGAAAGTTACCAAAATATATTCGTTAACTTCATCCTCGGAGTCTGACGTGTCCGCCATTTTGTTTAGGCGCGAAATAAATTGGCGGCAATAAGCCAATAACAACCTAGGTTGCGGGAAACACGACCTGCGCCGAAAACGCTTAAATTCTTCGCAGCGGAATTAGCGCTGCGGTATATTCTTCTAGTGTGCGGGTACATTCCGAACACTCTTTACTAATTAACATCCCTCGAAATTATAATTGCACTGCAGGTTGCAAGGAAAATTGCATAGTGTAACACCGCCTTTAGCCAAACATACATTCAATCTAGCAGCATGGATCAACATGTATATGCATAATTGAGAAATAGAAACCAATGATGCAAATAGTTTATTGTTACTTAAGATAATACTTCAGGTAATTTAAACACACCAGATCATTATCGGTTAACAGCAATCGAACCGCTATAAATTATGACTGAACCGTAGCTGCACTTCTACCGCCTCGCATGCTATAGATTTCTGGATAGTATTATACTATTGAGTTTATAGATTATAACTCGAACTTAATCTACGTATAATACCGATCGTATGAATTCTGCTGGTGTGCTGATTTCTGTTTGTTTTCGAAACTAAAGCAAAAATCTTTATTCTTTAAAATCAATAATAGTATACACATGCATGCATGTATAGGGAGGAAATTATATTTTTGAATTCCATACAACGTTTACTGCATGAAATGTGGTAAATAAGTATGCGAAACCGAAAGCAGCAAAAAATAGTGCAGTAATTGCTATAATAAAATATATAATAAGGTAAATACTTCTACAGTTACTTCTGCGATAAGTTCTACTCTATTTCATATAAAAACAATGTTAAACAAGTTGTGGTTGAATTCTGTTGTTTTGCAGGATAAATCTTGCAATTAGCCGTATTTGACTTTGAAAGGGTTAATCTGACTAACCGATTCAATGTAAAAGTGCCATCATATGACCACTAAAAAATTAATATATGGTATTCACCTATAACAAAACTCTTCACTGCAACCACGAAGGAAGATCAAGAATTCGCAATGAAAAATGTCGTTTGCGGCAGGAATAATCGAGATTAATGTTGTCAAAGAGAAAATTTTTAGCGGAATGAATTAATGTCAATTCCTATCGTCTTTTAATTGTAAGGTTGTTGCTGAAACGGAAGACGTAGCGCATGCTTCCTTTTCCGGCACTCAATGCTGTGCAAGTGCGAATGGGCACATAATTTTTTTCATTTAAGAATTTTAAGCACTAGTCCTGAGCACTACGTATATACACATGCAGCATTCACAATGCCATGGAATCTTTTTCAAAACGTACAGCAAATTATTTTCTAGTAGTGCTGTATCCCGCTCGCTGATATGTTTTCTGCAAAAATTCGACCACAATCATGCATATAAAAATGGTGTTGTATATAGCTTTGAAGACATGCAGTGTATTTTATTTTAAAGGAACATAATTGAAAATCTTTGAACATAATTCAAAACAACCGGGAAAATGAAGTTTGGGACTTTTCGTGGAGAACCTCAAGCCGGTTATAAGCAGCTGTCATCGCCAATTTTAAGTCGAGGGTATAGTTTATGCATGTTCTCCTCCCAATTCATAGGGAAGCTCGTACGCGGAAATGGGTATTATACATGAGTCAGTTCGGTGAATAATTCACCGGAAGACGGAAAGAAAAACATTGACGCCTTGCAATGTTGATATCAAAATTAAATAATCAGGCACGTTGTTCACAAACAAACAAGGTGAATGAAACAATTACAAAACCGCTGCCACTTATAGCCAGGGAAGAGTAGAATGAAGCTAAGTGCATGCAGTCAAAACATATTAATCTTAAGCAGGTCCTTTTTACAAAAGCATACATAAATTAGTGCTCAGTAAAATATTAAACAAATTATACTGAAATAGAACGAATGTTTAATATTAGAAAGACATGCCTTCAACTCGTTTGCTTCATATCTTGACATTGTCTCAGTCGCGAACAGGAATAAACTCTATAATTGCAGAATGTAAATAATGTCACTTAGTTCATTGTCACTACATGACAATTAATTTAAGTATCTTCAATGGATCGCTGCTCTTCTAATACAGCTCATGTTTACAAGCACACGATGCAAAATAGGTCTTGTAAAATCAGGAAAGAGAAACCTTCTGGCTCGTTATAGATGTACTTGGCACATTATTATGGACAAATATACCGATCAAACAGTGACAGACACATTTAATTTAAAAGCGATTATAAAATTAATGGACTTAAATGATGATCGCTATTTTGCTGAAAGGGAAGAAGATAAATTGATATAATTATGCAGCTAGGAAAACAGTATTATACACACTTCAAATTCAAGCCAGGAACAGTTGATGGAAAAATGAGTATGAGCAGGAATCGAACCTACGCTTTTGCGATGCCGGTACAATGCTATTGCCACTGAGCTACAGAGGTAGTTGACAAGAGCAAGCGTGGTTAATGTGTATAGATAGATTATACTAATTTGCATTCAACTTTCAACAATTATGACCATTAACATTTACTATAAAATACATATAGCAAAGTACACCTAAAAATTCCGTTGCCCTGGATGTTGCCCACTTTTTGCCGGCCTCTGGATCAATAGAACAGGGGTTTTGCAACGTTTTGATGATCGAATTACTTACCTTGGGTGTTACTACGTTCTCCCAACTGGCTGCGTTCAAATGTGTATGTCAGCTTTGTATGGTTTAACTGCCTTATGAGGAACACGAAAGACAATATCTTTAACAAAATCTCTTGGTATATTACACGCTAATTGATCAACAATCTGAATGGAAATGTTCGTAAGAATGTGAGCGATTTTATAAGCTCGTTGAGAGAACACGGCCAACATTTTGAGCAATATATTTTTAAATTTGAAGACTGCAGAAATACCCAAGGGAAAAGATTCGGTTACCAAAACGTTTCTAAACAGCTGTTCTATATCCATATCCATCTAGAATTCTAATCTTAGTCAAGACCCACGCTTGGTCAGTAATATAAACAAACTGTCAGGCATTTAAATTCTACCAATTGCATGACTTTGTGTGCCCAAGTATTAATACTGTTTTCCTATATGATTTTTGGCACTTCACTCGATGCAGGTATATTCTAGTGGTTTAAATTAAGGGTCTTCATTTCGAGTGGTATTATACACACTTCAAATGTGTATAATACCACTCGAAATTAAGACACTTTAAACCACTAGAATATTCCTGCATCGAGTAAAGTGTCAAAAATCATTATTGATTTACCCTCACCTATTCCCGGCATTACCTAATATACAAATAACATGTCGCAAATTTCTGGTAATGATATATTAAAGCCAGCATTATACAACGAAAATCCAGCCCAAATAAGTATAGGGTATAGGTCTAGTTTTCCTTTCCTTGTAGTCTAACACTGCGTAACTTTACACATGCTGTCGGTATAAAAATAACGCGAATCAATTATTAGAATCAACAATACAGGGTGCGTGAAAAAGTCCGCATATTCTGTAGCTACAATACGTGCATTTTCGCAGCACAAGTCAGTGTTGACCATTGACATTTGAAAGAAAGAGGAAAGACCACTTAGCATGAAGTCCATCAATAGGCAATAGCGTAATCAATATTATTATGTAGATATTACAATCATGTTTCATAGAATGTCAACATAGTCCAGTAATCCCACTTAAGCTGGAATGCTGATCTCTGTTATATAATTATATCTTTGCAATTCGAAACTAAAGCAAAACTTTTATACTTTAAAATCAATAACTTATATAGGCTAGGGTGGAAGTTATTTCGTGTAGAATTTCAACTAATTTCATTGTTATATTTTTGAATTGGATACAACTTTTATTGAAAACCAGCCATAATAAAACAAATAATGCAGTTATTTGCAAGCCACCGCTAACTGTGAAGTTTTTATCACGTTAGCTTACGTTCAAACTTTTGGGTTTAACCGGAAACTTTGAATGTTAAACTCTAAACCAACCAGGTTTCACTGTGATATTTCGACAGTTGAGCGGAAACTGTCAAAACTGTCGAACTATCACAGTGTAACGTGATTGGTTTAGTTGGTTTATAGTTTAACATTTTGACGTTTCCGGTTAAACCCAAAAGTTTGAAACGTAAACAAACGTCATAAAAACTTGCAAATAGCTGTAAGGTAAATACTTCCACAAAAACTTCTACTCTATATTTCTTAGAAAATGCAAAGTTACAAATTGCGTTGAATTGGTTGGCTGAATTCCGTTAGCCTATATTGCTCCTTGAATATTGGAATTATATAGCTATTGCCTGGAATGGATTAATCTGACCAGTATAACGTACATTAAACGGGAAAATGCAATCATATTACCATTTAAAAATTAATATAGTATTCACATATAACAAACCTCTTCAATGCAACCACGAAGAAAGATGAAGAATTCGCAATGAAAATGTCGTTTGCGGCAGGAATAATCGAGATTAATGTTGTCAACGAGAAAATTTTTAGCGGAATGAATTAATGTCAATTCTTAACGTCTTTTAATTGTAAGGTTGTTGCTGAGACGGAAGACGTAGCGCATGTTTCCTTTTCCGGCACTCGATGCTGTGCAAATACGAATGGGAACATGATTTTTTCATTTAAGAATTTTAAGCACTACGTATATACACAGCATTCACAGTGCGAGGGAATCTTTTTCAAAACGTACAGCATATTATTTTCTAGCATCGCTGTTGGCCGCTCGATGAAAGGTTTTCTGCGAAAATTAGACCACAAATATGCATTTAAAAATGGTGTTGTATAGCTTTGAAGACATGCAGTGTCTTTAAATTAACATAATTGAAAATTTTGTGTACAACCAGGCAAATGAAGTTCCATGGGGACTTTTCGTGGAGATCTTCAAACCGGTTAAAGTGCCTATATCACTTGTGGGATCTTTACGGATTTAAATAGAGCTTGAAAAATTAGTTTATAAGTTCTACAACCCTTTTTGATATAATTAAATAGTTTCGAAAATACGTCGGTTGGGGGGACTGGGACTCAGGAATGATTTGCAAACACGCCGTCTTTTATAATGTAAACATGAAGAGTTTCACTGGCGATATAGTTTGCGCTTTTCAAGAAAAAAATGCGGGAACGGTGCGTTGTGTATGGCTGTAGCAACTGGGCGAGTTTTTCTCAAAATATTTTGCGTTATTGGAAGATCGAAGTAAAATTACAATTGATTATATTATATTTGACAAGAACTCGGTTCCTGAGTCCCAGGCCCCCGAGCACGACGGAAATTTAGGCAAATCGTCATGTTTAGATGTAAATATTTCCGAAACTATTTAACTATATCAAAAAGGGTTGAAGAACTTATAAACTAATTTTTCAAGCTCTATTCAAATCCGTAAAGATCCCACAAGTGATATAGGCACTTTAAACGCAGCTGGCACTGCCAATTTTAGGTCGAGGATATGATTTATGTTCTCCTCCCAATCCACCCTTTTCGAGGTTGACCTGCAGGGGGTAACACGTGTGCTCAGATGCGCACTTTTCGGACAAACAAACATGTAGTCATTGTATATAATACACTGAATTTTGAGTCAAATTACGAAACATAAATGCGCATAAACCTCCACTAAGAAAAGTTATTACGATACAAGCATGGATTTTACTCTGGAACCAAAAAATTTTAAAGAAATGTGTCTCTCCGACTTGAAAGATTATCTACAAGCGAGAGGAGTTACAGTTACCGGGCATCTTAAACCTGCGTTAGTCGAAATCGCTTCGTCTGTTGAGAAAATGATGATTCCAAGATTTAAAAATAACCGTACATGGCATAGAAATTGATGATCCGATGTCTGGGTCTCACAAATACGTAAACGATTTCATTGAGTCACCACCATTTGGTTTATTCGACATATTTAACCACCTCATATACAACTCTACTGAGTATGATAAACAAGGTCTAGCTGCTTACAAAGCATTCGATGATTATCGCTTGTTTGAAGAGGGCTATGTAGAATCTTTGTTGACCGAGCCATTGCCAAGTGCAGGGGTACATTTATATGTTGGCAAAGTTCGACCCAGCATGAAGAAAACCGATGATGTAGGAGGAAAGGCCTTTTACGACCTGTGGTTTATTTTAGATGGCAAAGGTGCAAATAGGGGCACTGTATTGAAAGCATGGTGTGCATGTAAAGGGGGTAGAGATGGAGGCTGTAAGCACATTTCAGCAGCGATGTATTCCCTTGAAAACCTTCTGAATACCCGCTCTACAGAAAGTGTTACCAGTGGGCCTTGCCAGTGGGTGAAAAGACCAACCTCATCAAGCAAACCTTGTGAAGTGAAAGATTTAAAAATTGGTAAATGTATTTCCCTGCCATTTAAGAAACAGACTAGGGCTAATGATAAAACTTCAGTTAAGCGTAAACAACTTTCCAAAAGGGCAAGAAAGTCACAATCACTTTCCTCTCCCAGAAAAAAGAAGAGAACACAACATATTTTCTCAGAAAACATAGATATGGATGTCAGGAATGAGAGAAACAGGTGCAACCCATCACCCGAATCCCTCAAAAAGTTTGTTTCAGCAATATCAGGAGAACATGTTGCTAAGCCACCAACAATACTCCCTCTTTTAATGTGTCTTTCTAAAAACACTGAGTGCTCTACAGACTGCAGCATTTCTCATAACGGTGCAATAAAATCCAACCCAAATACAAATGGAAACATCAGTATTATGAAAGAAAAGTTAATGCACTATAGCAGTAAAGAAGAGGTCATATCATATTTTGGCAGTCCAGATGAAACAACAATGATGACTTTGGAAGAAATTAATTTTATAAACACTCAAACTAATGATCAATGGAAATGCAAAGAGTGGTATGTCCAAAAAGCAGGTATTATTACTGCTTCGAAGGCTAAAAGAGTAAATGACTTGCAAACAAGCTTAGAGAGTTGTCCAAACAAAGATGTAAACAAGCTTGTAAATGAAATAGCTAATCCCAATGTTCCATCATACATTCGTCGACATCCTGACCAACCCCAAAACCCACGTGACTGGGGTCTGAAGCATGAAGCTACTGCACGGAAAGGTTACAGGCAGGTTAAAGAAAAGCAGCACCACAAGTTAAAGCTTGAGTCTAGAGGACTCATGATTTCAAAGAATAAGCCATTCCTTGGGGCTAGTGTTGATGACCTTCGTCATTGTGAATGTGAAAAGGAATGCCCTGTAGCTGTTGTGGAATATAAATGCCCATGAAAGCACAAAGATATTTCCCCTAAGCAAGCTTTTCTGACTCCTGAAGTAGGTGGGCAACAGAAAGGCAAACATTTTACATTGAAGAGAAATTGCCAATATTACTTCCAAGTACAGTTGCAGATGTTTGTATATCAGTTATGTTTGTGTGACTTTGTTGTATGGACGAAGCATGGCATATTTTCAGTCGAAATCCCATTTGATGAAGTATTTATTTTGTCAGTTGTTGAAAGGCTTCAAAAATTTTGGGTAAATCATGTTTTACCTTTTATGATGCTTCAGAATGGATTACAAAGTAAGTAATTTTTATATATTTTATCATATGTAATTAACTACATACATGAATAATGCAAATATGGTTAGGCACTGTATATATAAGTTGACATACTAAAGAGAGGACTAAACTTTTTTTTACTACGTTTTACAGGTGAGAAACTCCCTGATTTAGGAACCAGTAGTGCTATGAAACTAGATGAGGACACCAGTACTGGTGTCTGTGGTGATACTGTTGACCCTCCTAAGATTACTGTGTCAGGCTGCACCATCTACCAAACATGCATAGATGGTCTTGAGGCAAACACAATGTTAAATGACAACATTGTTAATTACTTGATAGGGTAAGCTCGTATTTATCTGAATGGTATTTAATGGTATCTGTGTAATATATGTACCTTTTATGAACATCTTTAGGGAAGCTCAATGTATTTTTCCAGTCCTGAGTACTTTTTTGGTACACAGTATTATGTGGTGAACAAGAAGGAAATATAAAGAAAATCAGGTATTTATTGTATTTATTCTGTAGTCTGTCAAGTATGTTAATGAATTGTTGAATAGAAAATGTTTTAACTCTTTCAGAGAGCAGAGGAATAGACAGGCTGAGCAATTCTTTTCACCAGAAATTTTAGAGGAGGATTATATTTTTATTCCTATCAATAGGAGGTAAGGAGGTTAATGTAAATTATGTTTTATTATTTAATTTGTGCTGTTATGTTCATTCTAGTAATTCAAATTTTATAGACACCATTGGCTTCTGGCTGTGATCACACCTTGGTAATTGTTTTAAAATGACATATGGTTTCTCTCATTTTAATTGTACAAAATTTCAACATCATTTATTTGCTTTCTTTTTCTAATTTATAGGCATGTGATGTTACTGGATTCATTAACTAATAACATTGGTAATCGGAAAAAAGAATTTAGTATCATCTTTAGGTAATAGAAAATATTAAACATTCACCATGCATACAATATATAACTAGGCATAATGCAAGCTTTTATGCTACCCTATAATCTGATGGTATTTTTTGTCATTCAAGCCACCTCCAATATTTAGTTGAGAAACACCACATGATGGATAAACACCTAAAGCTGAAACATTTGATGTTGAAGGTATTTATTTGAATTGAAAGTCAATGCTTTAAGTAGCACTGTTCATCGAGTCGCACCAAATATTAGTTTACTCAATCAATAGCTTGTAAAATCTCACAGTGGTAAACCATGAATTTTGAGTTTGTCAAATTTTATAACTATCAGGTTCCTCAACAACGACCAGGAAGCAATAATTGCGGGATATATGTTGCAAAATATGTTCAACACTTTTTGCAGGTACTGCATGTACATTAAACATTACAAATTTAGGTTATAATCTTACTCAGACATTAATACTTGATTTTTGAAAATAGGATTTGGATATTTATGAGAATGATCCTGCGGAATATGTCGCCAAAGAACATGGTTGGTTTAATCATGAAGATGCTGGAAAAACCAGGGTGGAAACAAAGTCTTTTTTGCAAAACCTTTTCAATGTGCAGCTGTGGAAAATAAGATTTAATAAATAAACTTTAAATATTAACAAAATCAGTTAATTGTCATCATTTGTAGCAATAGCACTTGGTTCCAAATTAACCAATGCAGTACAAACTTTGATAATAGAGTTTATATATGGTTTAAGCGATAGAGAAATCACTCCTCGTAAAATGCAAAAGCATTTAAGCTTTCGTATTAACCTTTCCACATGAACACGTGGCTTTGCTATCCTCCTGGTGACTGTAGATGACTTGGCAGATATATTTCCTTTTTTCATCAAAGGTGGTGCAATAAGTCGTGTCTGATGGATAGCCAACAAATCTTGGATGTTAAAGCCTTTGTCAGCCATTACAACATCACCAGGGTTCAAATATTCCAAAAATCCAGACTTTTTCACTATTTCCTTATCACTTATGCTGCCAGTAAAGAGGTTGGACACAAAGTTGAAATGTGGGATGGGAGATATTCCAACAAGAACTTTAAAAGTGTTCCTCGCTTTGTAATTACTGTAGGTAGATCTTTGTGCTGCAATTTTGAAAGGCTTTTCAATATAGATCTCAGTGCAGTCAATAATACATCTAAGACCTGGAAATGCTCTGAAGGCTTTTGGCATCTTTATATCTTTCATTTCTTCCAATGTGGAAAACGGTAGAAGAAATTTCAGCTCATCTTTCAGAAACAATATCCACGAAATAAATATTTTTGTCACAGTTGCTGGAGAGATACCATACAAGTTGGCAAGCATTATTATGCTTGGTTTTCGTCTTAGTCTAACAAGGGTCAAAATTAGCTGATCCTGGATAGGCACCTTACTAAGTGCCATCTTCACCTGAAATTATGACAACCATATTTAAAATTTTGATAAGATTTATTGCATTTATATCAGCCTTTATCATACTGCACCTTCATATACTTTGCTGTTAAGCCATCTTTGTTGGTTGTTCTTGAGCCTTTCCATGTACTGATACCTGCTGCTTTCTCCTTAAGTAGGTCATAAAGGGCAATCAAAACTTTAACATCAAGTCCTGCAAAATAAAAGTCCATCGACAAATAAGTAGAGAATAATACATTTGTGAAGCACGAGCATTCAAGAATCACAATGTGGGTAAAATGTACACAAAATACAGTATTTTAAATACCTGTATAATGAAAACAATAATTAGGATTTTTCACTGTTTCAATAAATAAACCCCTTCTCATTATATCTTTGTTCTTTAACATCTGTTCTGTGTATGGAATGCTGTTCATTTCAATATTCGTCTATAAATAAACAGTTCAGCATATTTTCAAAGGGTGATCAACAGAAGTTGTTCGGTTTGTCAGCTATATACGTTAACCTATTGGTGGTATACTGTATGTTTTAATATTTTTACCTGACTACCACTTTCTGTCATGATAATTTCTGTTGAATCATCTTTGTAAGACGGAATTTCAGAAGGTTCAATGCCCGATTCCATTTCCATTGACTCTGATAATAGTGTAAGGGCTTCGGCGACTTGAAGTTCCTCGTTCGTCTTTCCCAAAGATGAATTAGATGAAGACAGGTTAATCATGGCTTTTGCAGCTGATTTTTCATCTCTCTTACTTATTTTATTACATTTATTCGTCCTTTGAGATGGTGGCTTTCTCTTGTTGTTTAACCGCTTTATCTAAAAATAATATAGACGAGAATATATTAAATATGCAAAATAGACTTTTTATGCAAATATAAAATAGATTAAAATTTATTACGTCCAACCTTTTCTCGGTTTGCGGTTGCCGGTATTGGATCGGGATTGTCTTGAGTTGGTCCGTTACTTCCAACAAAGTGAATTCCACAAATATAACTGTCTTTCTTACAAACGAAATGGTCGCCACGACAGCATGCATTTATCCAACGCTTTCTTCGTTCTTCTTCCTTTTTTAGCGACGGAAAACTGTAAAATTGTATGCTCTTGCCCTCTTTATTGAATAATCTTTCAGGGTAACGTGTATCGCTATTGCAAGTGCCCCAAGCACAGCGTTTAACCATCTTCAAAGTTATATTTATAACTATATACAGTATGACCGAAAGGCGAAAGTACGAATGATGTTTGTTTGTTTGTCCGAAAAGTGCGCATCAGAGCACACGTGTTACCCCCTGCAGGTCAACCTCGAAAAGGGTGGATTCATAGGGAAGTTCGTACGCGGAAATGGATATTATGCATGAGTCACTTCTGTGAATTATTATGGTTCACCGGAAGACGGAAAAGGAAAACATCGACGCCTTGCGATGTTGATATCATAATTATACAAAGCAGGTACGTTGTTTGCAAACAAACAAGGTAAATGAAACAATTAAAAACCGTTGTCACTTATAGCGAAGGCAGAGGAGAATGAAGCTAAGTGCATGCATGCATGCAGTCAAAACATAGTATATATCAATTTTATGCAGGTCTTTTTTAAAAGAGCATACATGCATTTCAGTACACTTTCACTGAAATAGAACGAATGTTTAATATTAGAAAGACATGCCTTCAACTCGTTTGCTTTATATCTTGACATTGTCTCAGTCGTGAACAGGCATAAACTCTATAATTGCAGAGTGTAAATAATGTCACTTAGTTCATTGTCACTACATGACAATTTAAATATCTTCAATGGTACACGATGCAAAACAGGTCTTGTAAAATCAGGAAAGAGAAACACATAACAACCTTTTGGCTCGTTATAGATATACTTGGAACATTATTATGGACAAATATACCGATCAGACACATTTAATTTAAAAGCGATTATAAATAGACTTAAATTATTATCGCTATTTTGCTGAAAGGGAAGAAGATAAATTGATATAATTATGCAGCTAGGAAAACAGTAATACGGCCAAAATTTTGGCAAATATATTTTTAAATTTGGCAGACTGCAGAAATACCCGAGGGAAAAGACTCGGTTACCAAATTAAACGTTTCTAAACAGCTGTTGTCTTGTTATATTATACACGCCAATTGATCAAAAATCTGAATTAAAATGTTCGTAAGAATGTGAGCGATTTAATAAGCTCGTTGAGAGAACACGGCCAAAATTTTGAGCAATATATTTTTAAATTTGGCAGACTGCAGAAATACCCAAGGGAAAAGATTCGGTTACCAAAACGTTTCTAAAAAGCTGATCTATGTTTATATCCATCTAGAATTCTAATCTTAGTCAAAACCTACGCTTAATTGGTCAGTAATATAAACAAACCGTCGGTGATTTGTGTTCCTGAATCCTGATATAATTCCAGATTTTTTCTGCAGTCACTCAAAAGGCAGTTCAACCATACAAAGCGTATTATACACATTTGAACGCAATCAGTTGGCAGAACGTATAGAAACACGCAAGGTAAGTAATATGATCATCAAAACGTGGCAAAACCTCTGTTGATCTAGAAGTCGGCAAACAGTTGGCAACATCCTGGGCAACGGCATTTTTAAGTGTTGTACTTTGCTATATGTATTTTATAGTAAAAGTTAAAAGTCATAATTGTTGAAAGTTGAATGCAAATTAGTTTATTGACCCAGACATCCATCTGCAAGAGAAGATAGCTTTAGTTGGCTGCTAGACTACATCTCCTGCAGGAGATAACTATTTATATAATAACTATAGTGAAACACGCAATGTGATTGGTCAATAGCCGTGCAGGATCAGACAATCCTGCACGCGTTTTAGACAATCCTGCACGCGAAATTTAATTTTAATAAAGTTAACCGTTGTTTCACTACAGTTATTTTATAAAACAATTACCAAATGATTTTCCGTGCAGGATTGCGTGATCCATGCACTTGGGATGTTGCTCGACTTTCGGAAAGCGTGAAAATACACTCGCCTACGGCTCGTGTATTTTCACGCTTTCCGAAAGTCTCGCAACATCCCGCGTGCATGGATCACGCAATCCTGCACGGAAAATCATTTGGTATTCCTTTAATGAAATAGCTGGAAGTTTCTAACTAGCACACAGTCATAAACAAAAAATAGCAATTGTTGCAGGATTTTCATTCTGGTTAAAAATAATGATCTCCTAGATTGTCGAGTTATTTTACACATTACATATTGGTATATTATGGTGAACATTGGTACAGTATTTATTGTTAAACACAGAAACATGTTGGGGTATACAAATGAAAGACATACTGTGAGGCAAATCAATGTAAATGAGCTGGCCCAGTTAGCATGCATATCAAGTATTTGAAATATACATACTGTATCACATTTATAAAAACATAGAAACATGCGCATACATATATTTTAATGTCAATGGAAAATATACCAGCTTATTGTACTCAGCAGATAGAATAAAATTCCAAAGCTTAAACCAACGGACTTACTGTGAACATTTTGTCCCCCAAGCGACGGTAAATCCGAACTTGAAGATGCTATTGTAAGGATAATTTTATCATCAGAATATGATAGCGGTCGATGGATATTATTATTAGCATATTTAAGAGCAACACGAAAGATTCACTGACAGTCTACTCAAAAAACGTACTAAATATTATATAAAATGCAACCAAGTTCTGTAAAAAAATATTACCGTCAAATGAAAACTTCTTTAGCCATTGCTCCAGGTCATCCATATGGCCACAAACCACCAAAAACGCAAGAATGCACGAGTAAAACGCTGCAGAAAAGCTCGATTTGTCAGAAATCGTATTTCTGGCAAAAATATTTGCACTCTCTGCCAGGCGCTCCATTTCTCCGTTGCGTCCTCTCCAAAATTCCTTGCGCGCTCGCTCTGCGTAACCACTGTTCTATATAAAAGCCTGTAGTGTTCCTATTTATTTTATTCAAAGCGCCTGGGAACGAGGCTGACCATCTACCTCACCACAATCTCCATCTCCTACCCCACTACAATATCCACCACCTGCCACCTTGTCAGTGTCTTTGCTTAGGCTATCGAAGCAACACCAGAGCAAGCAAATTAAAATGACGCCAATTGAAAGGACGATAAAAATTAAAATTTCAGCTTTACGCAATTATAACTAAAACGAATGTTCGGATATCAGATTTGCAACAGTTGATAATGTTATAACATCGGTCCACGTGCGGCTGGAATTAATCTTTTTATGAAGTGTAAACTTGGATGCTGTCTTGTCGATATAACTTTCCCCTGGGAAGTCTTTTAACTAAAACTCGAATTCCCTAGTCTGAATCACCGCACTGTTCCTTTCCTACGTCTGTTTGCGTCAATATGTTGAACAGGAACTTCCTTATCACCCTGAATGTGCGTGTATCCTTACTCAATCATTATATTTCCCCAGTTTAGAAATGTTATATTACTGACTAAGTTTGACTAAACACATAAGAATATGAATATGTACGGTTTCGGTATTAGATGCGTAAACATGCATGTTCAGTAAACGCGCAATGCGGCAACCTAACCTACCCACGCTATGTTCTCTACAAAAAGCACATCGCGAGTTTCTATGAGTATTATTGCGAGCTTCAGCAGTTCAGAGTATCGGCTCACCCCAGCAGCAACTCTGCTATAGGCCGCAGTTTTTGTTAATCGGAAAAAAAACAATTTAAGGCAGTGTAATGCAAAGCGTGCATAAGCGCACGTGAACTGAGGAGGAGAGTGCAAACTACGGCGAAGGGCGCTGGTCAAACCCTGTTCGTGCGAAAAAATCGACATCTGGTTCGTGTGCTGTCAACAAGTTGTTCATGGTTGTTCGGAACAATATCGTTCATGACTGTTTCAAGTTCCAACAACGTTGTCGCAACCTGATGGCCATTGGCCTATGCCTAATGGAAGAACAATGCCTGAAAATGTTGTTGGCCTGTTGCAAAAGTTCAAAACTACTCGGTTTTGTGCTGTCAACAACTGCGGTCGGAAATCGCTTAAAAAAGCGACCTAACGTCTTTTAAAGGACAAGCATAAAACAGGAAGTTAATTTTCTTCGCTGTGTTAAAATTTCACGTCATTAGGAGTTTTTCTTGCTATCTTTTTTCAGTCCATCATTCTTGATGCCCACAAAGGAATTCTGTTAAAAGGTCCATGCCGCCATCTTTTTCGTTACGGTCAATTGAAAGTAGTGTGTGCCTAGGTGACGAGTGAGTCGAACGCGTCTAATGAATATTGTGTTTAATAAACTTTTTTTAAATTTATACATGTGAATTGTTAAGGCCCACAAAGCAATGTCCAGAAATAACCTAAAAAAACCGCGGTTAACTGGAAACTTCGGTTGAAACGAGATCAGACGGAGGTCGAACGGTGGTGTGACCAAGGTTAAACTTCTGTCGAAACTCAATTTCACTGACTCTGACAGACCGATCTGTCACCTTTAGGGGAAGTACACAGGGCTGTAACTAGAACGATAATTGGGGGGGGGGGGTGTTCATTCATATACTCAGTTCTGCCCGACGGATTTCCATTGTAAGCTATTGCACTTACAAAAGAAATCCGTAGGGCAGAACTGAATATATGAATAAACACCCCCCCCCCCCAATTATCGTTCTAGTTACGGCCCTGGAAGTACATTCGTAATGTAAACAAACCTTTTTAAATACGTATATGAATAGAATATGGATTTTAAAGTGAGTCAGAAAAATCAGAAAAATTGAAAATTTAGGCTTCAATACTACCAACGTACCACAGAAACTACAGCTCAACCTTTATAAATCCAGTAACAAGATCATCACCAAAATAATAGACTGCTTTCATGAGAGGTCGTTGTCCTTACCTCCATATCCAAGAGATGGTTCGACGGTATCCGTGTCCTATTCGTTGACCTGCGGATTGATTTCGATTTGGTTTACCACATTCTTCTGGCCAAGCATGCCTGCACGAAAGTTACCAGATGTTTTTCGCTATGCACAAAGACCTTTTTGGATGAAAATGAAACTGCAGATGGATAAGATGGTATTATTCGCTACCATACTTTATTGGTGATGCCTTAAGGATACATGGCTTTGTAAAGAAGAAGTAGTTATTATTATACTTTGTTATCATTAAGAATTATGCTTTCAATTACTACATGCATGTTTACGTTTGCTATTTGCTAGTGCTAGTTA